GATGCAAAAAGCGATTACGGCAAATAAAAAGCTCGAGGAAAAAGACAAGATAATTGAGGAAAAAGATAAATTGCTTGGAAAGAAAGATAAAAAACTTTGCGTGCAAGAAAGGAGAAAAGAAAAAAAGATGGCGGAAACTGTGCGGATCCCCCACCTGGGCTGCGCAGAACAGAACGAAACTCGTCACGAGGATTACCTCATTATATTTCCATCCACAATGGAATTAGCTGTGTCTTACCGCTTTTAACGTGAACTGCTGCTGCAGGGTACCAAGCGGCACGCGTTAATCTCAATCGACTTTCTTTAAGTTTCATCCCTCGGCTGCCTCGTCATCTTCGGATAAGAGGGGAGTAACCACCGTGAACCCATCGTCCACAAGAGACTCCTCAAATCTGTGCCTCGGCATTTGCCCTCCGTCCCGCGGGAAAACCACAGCTCGAAAACCGCGGGCGAAGCAGTCTTCAATTATTGACTTCTAACTTTAGTTTGTTTTTAAAAAAAAATTGGTCAGAACGCTCCAATGCAACTTAGATGCAACTCTGCATAACTCTCTTCTAAAATAAAAAAATAAACAAACGAGTAACAAAACTTATCCATTAGCTGAGTTTCCCCAAACTTCTTTAAACAAATCTACACTCGTCTTTCAAAATGAGAAGCTAACCTGTCCAAATGAACAATTTTATTTTTGTCTATTTGATTTCTTAATCACTATACAATATCGTTTAATTTTTTCACTACCTCGTAGAGTCTTTCCCAATTGCTCTGTAATTTAGAAGTTCTTTCTTTAGTTCTTCGAGGATTGAACAACCATACCTTTCGTTCGGGTTCGAAACATATTCGACGGGCTTTGCGATCAAACGAAGCTTTCGCTCTTAAAGATTTCATGTTCAACCGTTGCCTGATATCGTTATGGATTTTATTTAATTTTTATTTCAATCTTGAAACATAACTTTCTTCTGAAGAATTTTCTTTATTTCCAGGAGGATTACAGCAAAGAGGATCAAGAGGTAGTTTTAAATCTTTTCCTAAACACAACTCAGCTAGAGTTATTCCCGTGATCTCATATATGGCAGACCTAAACGCCAGAAGACTCATTCCTATCCAATAATTTCAATCTCGTTGGTTATCGGACACAAATTTAGCCAAATAATCTGTTAAAGTCTGATGTCGTTCCACTATTCCATTAGATTGCGGATGAAACGAAGTAGTTCGAGTTTTTTAAATTCCTAGTAAATGTGACAACTCGTGGAAAACTCGCGAATCAAAATTTCTCCCCTGGTTTGTATGCAACTTCGAGGGCACACCACATCTTGAAATCACTTGGTTCACAAAGACCTCTGCAACAGTGCCTGCCCTTATATTTCTTACTGAAAACGCCTTTACTCATTTATCATAGTAAAGCAGTCACACATTACCAATAATAATAAGTATTTGTTCCCAGCTGTAGACGTAGGATACGGACCTAGAATATCCATCTGCATCCTTTCAAATGGAGCTCCGGCATTGTAAATTTGCAAATTAGACTTTCCCTTTTTAGAGGGCCCCTGTTTAGCTATACAGGTTCTACTTACACCAATCCTTAATGTCTTGTTTATAAGATGCCCAATAAAATTGTTTTCGAATTTTTCCGAGGGTTTTACTTACCAAAGTGCCCTCAGGAAGGAGAGTCATGAACCTCCTTCAAGATCTGTGAAACTCATTTCTGCGGGACTATTGTTTGGAAAATGCAAGTCTTTAAATTTGGAAATTCCCATCTTCTATGAAGAACACCGTCCCTAAGCACCAGAGAATCCCATTGTAATTAGTAGAGTTTACAGGGTGACCTTTCGGAAACAATTTTTTGTCAAAGAGAACGTCCTCCTCCTTTCCGCAAAGTATCCTACTTATCGGATCCTACTTATACAGTCGGATTTTCCAACTGATTTATTCTCCAATTTTCCCAACTACTCCCTCCTGAATATTCTTCTGACGAAATTCTCTTCCCTAGAATCTATCCTGCTGCAATAACTGTAGCCGCTCTCCTCACAAGGTCGCCTAGATAACTCGTCAACATTTCCAAGCAACTTCCTTCTCCGATGAATTATTTCAAAATCGTACTGTTGAATACGTTCCATCAATCGGGCTAACTGAACTTCCAGATTCTTAAATGATAATAACCAACGCAAGGAAATATGATCAGTTCTGATCGTAAACTTATTCCCGTATAAGTAATGATGGAAACTTTTCATGGATTTCACCACAGCGAGCAACTTCCGATACGTAACAATAATTCTTATCCGTCTTGCTGAGAACACGACTAAAATAAGTAATGACTTTCTCTATTCCATCTTGAACTTGAGATAATACAGCACTAATCCCATGATTTGAAGCATCGGAGTCAAGGATAAATCGCTCATCCTTGAGAAAAAATAAAATTGAAGAAGATATCAAACGTTTTTTTCAATTCTCTAAAAGCGGTATCACATTTGCTCTGTTCAAACAAATTTCCCCTGACATTCTCAATTAATGAAAATAACGGTTTTGCTATCAGAGAAAATCCTTTGACAAACTTTCTATAATAAGAACAGAATCCCAGGAAGCTACAAACTTGCTTTTTGGTGCGAGTGGCGAATTAGCCAATCCTTAATGGAAGAAATCTTTTCAGGATCTGTTGTTATCCCCCTTTCGGAAATCACATGTCCTAAATATTTAATTTCTCTCCTGAAGAAAAAACACTTCTTCGGATTCAATTTCAAATTAGCCATGCGTAATCACAAAAAGACTTGTCTGAGATGACCCAACATTTCTTCGAAAGTGCCACTGAAAATGATAACATTATCTAGATATACTAAACATATTTTAAATATCAACTGCTGTAATACCTTCTCCATTAAATATTCAAAAATGACAGGAGCATTACATAAGCCGAAAGGCATAATGGTAAATTACTACAAATTATTTCCAATAGAGAACGCTGTCTTTTCATGTTCCAGGTGTAGTATCGAGATTTATTAATTGTTAATAATTAACTGTGATTGATCAGTTGTCTTATGACCTTACGGTTACGACTAAAATTTTTGTACGTGCAAAGGCCTTAAGCGTCTACAATGAGTACGTTTACACAGCAACATTAATCAGGTTTAGTAACAATCGTAGTTATAACTCCCTAAAAGTGATGTTTGTTTACACGCAAGGAGCAACACAAGCAATTACATAGCAATTACACGAACAGGAACCGGAAGCTATATCCTCTCCTCCATCAACGCCATACAGCGGCCCCAGCTATTCTCCAATCCTGAGCCTACAAATTCGCCCAATTATTCAAGAGAATTCTCACCGAGCTCTAGTCTTTTACACATTTTGCCAGACGAAGAAGGCTCGTCTGATGAAACCGTCGACTATTCAATACATTATATTAGTAGTGAAGAAAGTACAGAGTTATATTCAAAATACGACGAATAATAAAATAAACATAATATAATTTGGTGGCAGCGGTGGAATCTGCCAAAAGCAAATTAATTTACTAAATACTGTGGCAAGGACAAATAAAAGGAGAATAGAATACATATCTCAATTATAATCTCCTATTTCTTGACACGCACAATCCTTCAAAAAGCAGATAGAGCTCTCGGCGATCCCGAGGTATAGCGCAGGTTGCCTCAAAAGATAAATTGGAAGACACACCTCGCTCGTCTACATGATGAGCCAAGCAGGTCTGATCCTTGAATCAGAGAGTGAGAGACGAGTTACGGAAAACTGAAAAGTAAGATGTAACACTATCCGTGAAAAAGCGTTTATTTCTCGTTTGTATGTTGCATAGTAGTGCGCTATCTGGAAAAAAAGAGTTTATTTCTAGTTAGTTCAGTAGTTCGCATCGTCGCACGTTATCAGGAAAAAAAGGGTTTATTTCTCGTTTGTACGTCGCATAGTCGTGCGCTGTCCGGAAAAAAAGCATTTATTTCTACTGAACAAGTTACATTTTTCTGTGTCCAACTGAACAAGTTGCATCTTTCTGTGTCCTACTGAACAGGTTGCTTATACCTGTGTTTAATTGAACAAGTTGCATCTTACTGTGGTCAACTGAATAGGTTGCATCTTTATGTGTCCAACTGAACAGGCCGCTTATTTCTGTGTCCAACTGAACAGATTGCATCTTTCTGTGTCCATCTGAATAAGTTGCCTATTCCTGTGTCCAACTGAACAGGTCGCATCTTTCTGTGTCCAACTGAACAGGTTGCATCTTTCTGTGTCCAACTGAACAGGTTGCTTATTCCTGTGTCCAACTGAACAGGTTGCTTCTTTCTGTGTCTAACTGAATAGCTAGCATCTTTCTGTGTCCAACTGAACAGGTTGCTTATTCCTGTGTCCAACTGAACAGGTTGCTTCTTTCTGTGTCTAACTGAATAGGTAGCTTATTCCTATGTCCAACTGAGCAGGTTGGATCTTTCCGTGTCCAACTGAACAGGTTGCTTAATCCTGTACCTAACTAAACAGGTCGCATCTTTCTATGTCCAACTTAATTGGTTGCTTACTCCTGTGTCCAATTGAACAAGTTGCATCTTTCTGTGTTCAACTGAAAAGGTTGCATCTTTCTGTGTCCAACTGAACAAGTTGCTTATTCCTTTGTCCAACTGAACAGGTCGTATCTTTCTGTGTCCAACTGAACATGTTGCATCTTTCTGTGTCCAACTGTACATGTTGCTTATTCCTGTTTGCAACTGAATAGGTTGCATCTTTCTGTGTCCTATTGAACATGTTGCTTATTCCTTTGTGCAACTGAACAGGTTGCATCCTTCTGTGTCCAACTGAACAGATTGCATCTTTCTGAGTCCAACTGAATAGGTTGCCTATTCTTGTGTCCAAATGAACAGGTTGCATCTTTCTGTGTCCAACTGAACATGTTGCTTATTCCTGTGTCCAACTGAACAGGTTGCATCCTTTTGTGTCCAACTGAATATGTTGGATTTTTCTGTGTCCAACTGAATAGCTTGCATTTTTCTGTGTCCAACTTAACAGATTGCTTACTCCTGTGTCCAATTGAACAAGTTGCATCTTTCTGTGTCCAACTGAAGAGGTCCCTTATTCCTGTGTCCAACTGAACAGGTCGCATCTTTCTGTGTCATCTGCATTGTATCCTTCACCTAATGAAATGCCAAGTTATGGTCAACTTTTTATTGTGGATATTAATGAAGCAACAGTGTGTCGGTTACATCGAAATTCTAATCTTGATAAAGAAATTTTAAATTCAATAGATAATACAATGCGTACGAATAATATTTTTGCAGAATCATATCTAATGATGCATAAAGAAATTCAAATGCAATAACAAATAACTGAAAATAATAATATATGTGATAATAATAATATATGTGAATTACAATTGGGATTTTTGACAAAAAAAGACATTGATCGTGGCCGATACAATGTGCAAAGAGTAAATGAAGTTGCAGCTATTTTTTCTACTACGGCAGATGGTGAAATTCCGGAAACTTATGTAACAATATATAACAAAAATAATAAAACATTACAATAAGTCAATACAATGAATCCAAATGTATAACCATGGATTTATCCATTATTCTATCCATATGGTAATCAAGCATGATAATTTACAAAGTAAAAATTGTAATAAACGATTAAGTAGAGCTGCATGTAAAATATTGCATAGCTATACGTGATAATTTTAATATTTTCATTATGGGAAGACGATTATTTCAACAATGGCTTGTTGATAGTTGTATAAAAATTGAAAAAGATCGAATTAGTTATTGTAAACAGAATAAAAAACGATTACGAGCTGAGATTTATCAAGGATTAATTAATTATTTAGCAAACACCGCCAATAATAATAATGCTCATATTGGAAAAATGATTATACTTCCATCGACATTTGTAAGCTCACCGCGTAATATGTTGCAACATTATCAAGATGCTATGGCTATTGTTCGGAAATATGGAAAACCAAATATCTTTGTTACTATGACTTGTAATCCAAATTGGCGCGAAATTAAAGAAAATTTACTTCCAAATCAACAACCTGCAGATAGGTCAGATATATGTGTTCGAGTATTTAATATAAAAAAAGATTATTTAATCGATATTATTGTTAGACAAAAAATTTTTGTTGAAGTTTTGGCATATGTTTATGTAATAGAATTTCAAAAACGTGGATTGCCACATATACATTTGTTGATTACCTTAAAACAGAATTATAAAATAGCAAATGCTGAAATAGTTGATAAATTTTTTTCTGCAGAAATTCCTGATTCTAATGAAAATAAAAGTTTACATAATATTGTAATGAAACATATGATTCATGGACCATGTGGAGATTGGTGTTTGATAAATAATAAATGCTCGAAACATTTTCCAAAACCATTTCAATCTGAAACGATTATGGATGAAGATGGTTATCCGCAATATCGTCGAAGAAATAATGGATTGCTATACAAAAGACCTGGACGATATGTTGTTGATAATCTATATGTTGTTCCATTTAATCCAACGCTCTTACTTTTATTCAATAGTTATATTAATGTTGAAATAGTTTCGAGTATACGATCTGTAAAATATTTATATAAATATATTTATAAAGGTCATGATTCTGCATCCGTAGTTATTGGAGAAAATGTAGATAAAACTATAAATCATGATGAAATTCAAGATTTTATTGAAGCTCGTTATGTTGGACCCATGGAAGCATCTTGGCGTATTTTAAGTAAATCTTTGCAAAAAAAAAGTCACGCTTTATTTCGTTTACCAGTTCATTTACTAAATGAACATAATGTAATAATCGATGATAATATTAATAATGATACGATAAGATCTGCTGTAGAACGAATAACAATGTTATTAGATTATTTTGAATTAAATGCTCGAGATGAAGAAGCAAAACAATATTTATACAGTGATATTCCATCTCATTATATATTTAAAAAAATTAAAATTAATGGCAGAATTATTAATCGCTGGGAGAGACGTCAAAAATACTTTACTTTTCAGATAGAATTGTTTCATTTATGTATATTTTTACTACTGTTAAAGGAACTACAAGTTTTCAAAAATTAAAAACAGTTAATAACGAAATACAAACTTTCACTGCCGCATGTTTAGCATTAGGACTTATAGAAGATGATGATGAATGGTATCGTGCAATGAATGAAGCAAAAGTTTGGATGATGCCAAGACGACTTCGAAATTTATTCGTACGAATTTTAATTCATTGTCAATCAGTTCATCCGAAAAAGTTATGGGATGAGTTTAAAAAAGATATGTCAGAAGATTATATAAGACGATTTGGATCTATAATAGGAATGAAAAAAGTTTATAATCATATTATTAATTTACTTCAAAAAGAAGGATCAAATATTGCTAATTTTCCTGAAATGGAACAAGAAATAGAAGAACAAGAAATAAATAATGAAGAACAGATTGAAGAAGATACATCAATAGATATGCGACGATATGAACAATTAAATACAGAACAAAAAGAAATTGTTGATACTATTTTAATAACAACAACAAATAATAATATTGAGAAATATTTTTATATTGATGATCCATGTGGGTCTGGTAAAACGTTCATTTATACAACCTTCTATTATCTGCTTAAAAGTAGAGGCAAAATAGTTACTACGATGGCATTTACCGGTATTGCTGCAACATTACTTCCAAATGGAAAAACAATGCACAAAATTTTTGGGTTACCTGTATCTCTTTTCAGCGATTCTACATCGAACATTAAAGTTCAATCTAAAGAAGCTAAAAATTTAAAACTTGTAGATGTATTCATTATAGACGAAGCCCCTATGGCACCACGCTATGTATTAGAAATAATGGATCGAACATTACGTGATATAATGCAAAATGATTTATATTTTGGTGGTAAAATTGTTCTTCTTGGTGGGGATTTCAGACAATTATTACCCGTTAAAGAAAAAGTAACGCTTTATGAAATTATAAATTTATCGATAAAATTTAGTATTCTTTGGAAGCAATTTAAGATATTTTCATTTACACAAAATATGAGAACTTTACCACAGGAAAAAGAATTTGCACAATTTTTACTAAATTTAGGTAATGGTTCTTTAAATGATCATTCAGAAAATATTTGTATTCCAGAAAAATATATAGCAAATGCAAATTCGAACATAGTTAAAGACATGTATGAAGATATTATAAAACGTGAACAATATCAAATTATGATTAATTACGTTATATTATCTGCAAGAAATGTCGATGTTGAAGAAATAAACGAAAAAGTAGTAAATTTATTGAATGAAACGACAGAAAGAGTTTATACAAGTATAGATACTCTTGAAACAACTGGAGATAATCATATATGAAGCAATTCCGATAGAATATCTCAACTCTTTAAATCCAACATGTCTTCCACCATATAAATTACATTTAAGAAAATACACTATTGTCATGCTTATTAGAAATTTTAGTATCAATGAAGGTTTATGTAATAGTACAAGATTATTAATTTTAGATTTAGATAATAATTTATTGCGTTGTGAAATTTTAACAGGTAATAAAATTGGAGAAATTGTTTTTCTTAATCGTATCACTTTGTATTGCGAAAATATATATCCATTTACATTCAGAAGAAAACAATTTTCAGTAAAATTGGCATTTGCTATGACCATAAATAAATCACAAGGACAGACTTTCGATAAAATTGCAATTGATCTTCGAAAATATATTTTCAGTCATGGACAACTGTATGTCGCATTTTCACGAGTTCGTTCTTGGGATTCGTTGAAAGTTTATTTAAAAGATAATAATGCGAACAAAAAAATAAAAAATTATATTTATAAAGAAATACTTGATTAATGAAACAAAACAAATTAATATATGACATATGATTATGTTATAATAATAATAAAAAATGATAAAATTAATTAATTAATTAAAATTAAATAAATAATTTCAATTTTAATTTTTTAAATTGAAGAATAACATTTATGTCATTCTATTAAATTTTCAAATTATTATAAAAAGTACACATATAATATATATTAAAGAATTTTAATTATAAATAAAGAATTTTATTTTAATTATTAATATACATTAGAAAAACATTAATTGTACTAAACTAAGTTACATATATCATCGATTTTTTTTTTCAGTAAAAACTTCAAGATACCAATAATTGTCGAGTTAGAATGGAGTAAAAATAAAGGTTTTCTCACAATCTAAATCTTATGGAAATAAATTATTAACAAAATCACATTCTTTTATTAATTTCAAGTAGAGTTTAATAAAATTTTAATTTAAAGCTTATTGTTAGTTGCAAAAATATATGATAGCAAAAACTAGAAACATACAAAAAATCATAACTTTTCTCGATATTTTTGAAGAAAAATTGTCTCCAAATGATCCCACGCACTTGCCATTAACAAATAATATTAATATTTCTATATTTTTGCTTTAAATTTTTATTTTAAAAGAATTTTAACAAAAATTAAAATTATTTTTTAAAATAAATAATAAAGTTAATTAATACTAACTATTAAATTTTAACTTAAAAATTAAACAAATTTATTTTAACATAAGTAATTGTTTAATAATTAAATTTAAGTCGGTATATATCGCACGTATTGTTGTCTCTTTTCCGTGTACATGATTAGTGGTCGAATTGAATAAGAATGAACATTGACCAATTTGATGATTTGGGTACAGTAAGTTATAAAAGTTTAGTTCGATATTTGACAGTGATACTTCGAAGGGGTTAAATATGAAAATGATGAATAATGAGAAGAGGAAAAGGAATTAGTTAAGGGAGAAATATAGAAATGAGAGAATGGGATGAATATTTTAAAATAAAAATAATTAAAATTAAATGCGTAGAAAAAAAGCCGCGCGCGTTAGCGCGCGCTGCGTGATAGTCCTCTTTAAAAATTGCTGTGGGATCGTGAATTGGCGTTTGCATTGTTGTCGCTTTATTCCGTTTGTGATTGGCCGTCTCGATTTCGCGATGTGACGATGTAAATCTGGTACGGATTGCGAATCAGGTGGCACTCATTTGACAGTTCAAAAAAGTAGCAAATGAATTTTTTTAGTAATTATGTTGTGCTATAAATTATTTTAAAGAAAAAAGTAATTTGAATAAAAATTATTGAGGGAGAAATAATAC